ACATTATAAAAACAAAATCGACTTTGTCGTTAATATGATTCATGTAAAAATTAATTTTTTCTTGTTTATTAAAAAAAAATATTGAGAATTTTTAATTTTTTTTTCACTAAAGCACAAAGAATATCTAATTTTTTCTTCAAAACTATTCGTAAACTTAAAAATCAAAGCGTTTTTTATACTACTTATTGTTTATACACACACGTAAAAAATACGCGTTATTATAACATCAATAAATCCATAGTCTTGTTCAGAATTTACAATCAATCAAAAAGTCGATTTATTTATTTTTTAGGTTAGGTATCTTATGATATGAGTTCTTATATAATATTTCCTTTAAATCATGAAATGAATAAAATTATAATTGTTTTTTATTTTAATATTAAACAGCTGCAGAAAAAGAAATACTATAAATTACAAATTCTTAATTTAAAAAAATAAATAAAAATTATAGAGAATTATTATTTTTTATAAATAATACTTTAGTGTTACAAATTGCTATTAGATTTCGCTCTCTAATTGGCAAATCGAAACATTTTTTTCGACTAATTATCGTGTATACATACACACACTCATACCAACATATACACTATCATAAAATCAATAGATTTATTGCTCCATTCAAAATTTAAAAATCAATCACATCAATAATCTACTAAAATATTTTTATACGATTTTATTCTGGTAAATTATATAATTTTTTGTTTATTATCATTAGTGTCTCAGTGAATAAATAACTAAACAAATATTACTAGTTGATATAATTTAGAATAAAATAGTTTTTTATTTGGATAGCTATGAACTTTATACAATTTTGGCAAAATCACTTTAAAGATTTTGGATAAAAGTTATGCCGTATACATTGAAATTATTGTCGAAAAAGACCCGTCAACGTTTGTAAGTTCCAGTGTCTGCTTCCTGTACTTGACCCAGAATAAAATCTACGTAAGTTTTTTTTTTTTGAAAGGAAAGTTGTTTTATGGAGAAAAAAAAGCACTTCGAGTATATATGTAAAAAAAAATGCGAGAAAAGGGGAGAGAATAAAACGAAGAAAAGGATCATTGAGAGCGTTTCATTTCCCTAACACGACGAGAAACCCGTGGTTACGTTTATCTTTGACAAATCATGGACGTGCCAGGAGAATAGAATCGAGAAGAAACAAAAAAAAAGGGGGGTAAGCGGTGTGCCTCTGGATTTATTTGCCATTTTGTGTTTATACCTCTTTCAACTCTGTATTGTGTTCTCATTCTTTGGCACATTATTCAGAGTGCGTACAATACACCGATATGTGTGGCTTATATCATGTACGTATAATAACAAAAACGTACTAACCTGTGAGCATAGGCATAAACCGGGTTAGTTTAGACGGAAATAGGCAAGCGGGTTGTGAAAGTTATATGGAAATGACCTGATGGTTGTTTTGGGTGATATGAGTAGAGACGGCTAGGGGAAGTTTATACGTGTAGTACATTATTAATTCGATTCAAATTATGGTTTTTTGGGAGTCTTTTGGTTGGCGAATTTTGCCAACACGTATCTGGTATTCACACTGGGAAGTAATAATAATATATTTATTTTTTCAAACACCTGACTTGAGTTGTTAGTTTTTAGTTCATGAAAATTTAAATGAATTTTTTTTTTTTACTTTCAACATTTATTACTAGCTCGGTTAGATAAAGTCATAACGCATGGTAATGTAATCATCACAGCATTTTTTTAGCAGTTTAAAGTGTTATTTTTAATATGACAGATTATTAATATTTTTAAAAAACATTTATTTCACATAATGAGTATGTACTTCTTATTGATAAGTAGAGCGCGGATTTCTATGCAATTGCATATTTTTTTCCTTTTAATATTTTTGGATTTTTGTCAGTTATCTCCACGAATCATCATAATTTGAAGCTAATGGTGAAATCTTTTTTTGCATATTTCTGCATATTTAAAGGTTATTGCATATTTTTGCATATTTTGGCAAAATTCAAAATTTATTGCATATTGAAGCGAAAATTTAAAAAAATTTAAAAAAGTGTATAAGATAATATTTTGACAAGTAGAATGATTTAACATTTATATCTACTCATTTGGCATTTTTAGTGATAGTCATAAAAAAAACTGAAAACTCGAAATATAACTTTACATCTAAGCTTTTCAATAATTGACGAAACGAAAGAAAAAATGCATTCTATTTCTGGATCGAAAGGTGTAACACTTACAACAAAATTAAACGAGCTTTCCAATAAAAATGAAGGTCTGAAAATTCTACGAAAAATTAATTCAGTGTTATTAGGCGAAAACGTTCAGCTCAAAGAACTTTATCAAGATCCGATAATACTAAGTTGCTTCAAATATGCCCCAATAACTTCGGTTGACGTCGAACGTTCGTTCTCAGTCTTTAAAAATATGTAAACCGATAAACGATACAGCTTCACAGAAGAAAAACTTGAAATGCATATGATTATTCATTTTAATAATAAATACAATTTTAAAAATAAATTAAGTTTAGAAAATTCCCTAAATTTTTTATTATTAAGTATTTAAGTAATTAATTATTATAAGTTTTATTGTAAATTTTAAATGAATAAAAAATTCTTGCATATTTTCATAATTTTGACTGCATATTTTCATGATTTTTACTGCATATTATATGGCATATTTCGATACTTTTAAGTGCATAAAAATCCGCGCTTTATTGATAAGTTATGATAACTGACATCTTATTGTGATATTATATAGAATTGCAATTTTCAAGATTTAAACATCTAAACGTAATATAATTTAAATTTTAAACCTTGATGATATGATATGACAAGCTTATCCACGATAATAGATAATATCTATACAATTATATTTTTTGTTTGAAAACTTATTATGTTACTATACTAAGAACATAAGATAATCATGATATAGAATTTAACGGCTGTTGAATCATATTGTAGGACTTAACAAGCCGTGTAGGCGTAAGCTTACAAATTCATGTTTAACATTTAAATGATTCTTAGCAGTTTAATGAATTCATACTCATGATATTGGAATATACATTTTCTAAAACCACATTTATGGAATAAATAAATTCTATGTCGGTAGGAAGTCTACTTCATGTATAGTCTTGATTAAGTTAATGAGTACAGTAAGTGTTTCTTGCAATAATTTATAAACTGATTTACTATTTTACTTGCCTACAATATTCTACAATTTCTACGTATTTGAGTGCTTTTACGGAGAAAAGTTGTATAGGTACCCATAGTAATAAAGATATAAGTCGAGTATGGGAAAACCAATTTTTAGGATGTTTTTCTTTGCTAATAAAATATATCTCAATGTGTGTGTATCATTATTCGTTGTGTTTTATTGCGTATTATAATATTTTTCTTTAATTGTACATTATATTGTGTGATGGTGTTGTATAATTTATTAATACATATATTGTTGACATAATAAAATGTTATATATAGGGAATAATATATTAATATACTTGTATTCTATGAGATAATACTAATATGTATACGGGTATATAATAGTAAAATATTTTTTATCAATAGGACAATTAATGTAAATCAGAATTTCACAGTCGTATGGAGCTGTTATAGAAAAAGAAAATAATAAATGAATAATTAAAAGTAAGTATGTACATTATTTGTATATCATAATATAATAATAATAGTATTATACATTAATGATAATATTTATGTTTATTATATGGTAATAGGTATTAGATGTAGATACTTGTACTTGTCACGAGCACTAATAACATATATTATGTAAATTGGTTTATACATAGTGTATACCTACATTATACATAACACATACGTATATCACATGTAATAGTAGTTATAGATTTGAGTTTTGTTTTATAAAATCAATGAATTTATTTAAAGCTATTTTATTCACTTGAAATATAGAGAAATACAAGTTAGTTAGTAATTTGTTAATATGTAAATGTGTAACACACATAAAATAGTAATAAAGTACCTTCCTAATATTTTTCATTCGCTGAAATAATGTATGTTATAGGTTGAAATTACTTTATTACCTATTCACTTAATTTTGAATGAATTTTAATATTAATATGTCGTAAATGACAGTTATATTTTTATAAATTTTATTTTCATTTTTAAATTATAAAATAAATAGAAAACACAGATTTTAGAAAATTGTTTTTTATTTATTACTATAGTGAAAATTAATAGCTTTACCAAACAGCTATCATAACGAAAATTCTATAGTATGAGTACTGTGTACTTGATGCCGTAAATCAAAATGAATTATTTCCGTACAAAAAGAAAAAAAGATGGAGACTGGAAAGTGGGAAGTAGATTTTTTTACAGACTACTTTTATTGTATTTAGTTTTTAAAATAAAAAAATACGGTGATTAAAATCTTATTTTTAAAATATTCATACGGGACATGGAAACATAATATATCGATTAGATTTAAAAATTAAATTTAGCACAATTGAAATAACATTATATTGTTGTTTTTCCTTCTTTTATTTTTAATTTTATTGATAAGTATGATTTCAATATTATTTAGAGTAATTATATTCTTAAAATAGGTACTATGTTTATTTATATGTAAGGAAAATTATTTTAAACATTTTAATTTATATTAATGAAAATTTAAGTAGTATAACTTGAATAAATTCAATTAAAACAGAATATTTTAGATTAATTCATAACCTACTCTATATAAACTCTAACTGTCTTAACTCTATGTCACGTTAGTTGTCAGTATTTTTATTTAGAAAACCAAAAATATAATTTTTCATTTTTTTTTTTTTTTTTTTAAACATATAAATATATTATGTTTAAATTGTTTATGCAAAGGTTAAGTTAGGTTAGGTTATAATTTAGGTTATAAATATTTAGAGATACTATTGACATTTTATGAGATAAATAATTTAAATGTTGTATTTTATTTAACATATGATACATAATTTTTTAATTCAATTTGTGACTTATGTATAAGAATAAATTCTATGTGAGTTACAAGACTTTATTTACCTTGTATATAAATGAAATGTTACATGTTTGTTTGGACACGTTGCTGGCGGTTCTATACAATGTTTATACTTACCGAAATTTGGAAATCTTATAAAATCACCTTTGATTGATATTAGATAATTCAGGATCCATACTGTAACATAAATAATCTTAAAGAGTTAAAATTATACGACATTATAATATGGATAATATTTAAAATATCTAAAAAGTAGACTAACTTTCAATTTGGGGTTAAATTGTTAGTGAACAATGTTTTGATAAATTATATGTTGAAATTTATTTTTAGTTTAATTTTATAAATTTTTTAAGATACTATTATCAACAAATCATCATATTGTGATTCTCAGTAATAAATATATTTTTAAGAATATTATAATGTATTTATTTATTTATTAATTTTTTGTATAATATTTAATCTATTATATTGATAAAAATCAATATCTGTGTGCGCACAATCGATTATTCTTAATCAAATCTATTGTACTTATAGTTCTGAAATTTGGTATGTAGGTAATCTTTATAACTGAGATAGTGCTCCTCTAAACCAATTTCAAACCAAGTCATCATTTTATATTATATCTACTTTGAAGTATTAATAAAAGGATTGTAATGTAAAGTAACATAGCTATTAACAATCTCACTTTATCTAATTCAAATTTGGAACTCGAGAGCGTGATTAATTAGTGTAACGAAAAAAATATTGGAAGATTTTTCATACTTTAAAAATGATTAGATGTTTTAATTGATTATTTTTTTAACATAATAAGCTAAATATTTTCAAACTATTAAGTTGTTAACTATAAAATTTTTTATAATAATGAAGATTATCAATAAATATTATGTTTTATTAATAATAATTTGTCTTTATTATTTTTATATAATATGTAGGTACTGTTAATTGCTTTACAGATTTTTCAGACAAATTATTAAAACAAAATTAATAGTAATATTAAAAAAATTTAGTTTTTAGTAGTTTTTTTAAACATTTTTTTACTTAATTTGAAATAGGTCAGCAATAAAGTTCATTTCAACTTCAGATAATATATTTAAAATCGATAATGATTGGTCAACCAAAATTCTTTAGATGTTTCACTGACTTAAAAAATATTACTGGTTCAAAATTATAAAATTAAAAAAAAAAAAATGGTATTATTTTAATTTATTGTACCTATTTTTTGAGAAGTTATTTTAACGCATACCTATGTAGTATAATTAACAACTTTGAATTAAAAATTTGATATTTTTGTGATTTTTTAATTAAAAAAAATATTTTGACGTTAAAACATATTCCTGCTATTTTTTATTTTAATTATTTTAATATACATGGTATTTTTATAAAATTACTAATTTACAAGTTTACAAGATAAGTATTGTTATACATAAGAAATCATCTTTTAAAAGTATACGGTTTTACATGAGATAAACTTTTATAATAAATATAGTTATGATTAATTTTAAGTTGTTCGATTGGTTATCTTGGGCTTCTAAAAATATATCTTGAGGTAGGTGTGACTACAGCCTAGGACTAGTGGTTTTATTTCTGATTTTGTAATGGAGGGCACCTTCAGTTTTATTGAGTTTTTCATGGAAGTTTTTAAATTGGTTGATTATCCAAGTCGACTGATAAGTTAGTCCCGTGTTGTTGTGAAGTTGTCTCTTTTGTATTAACCAGGAGATTTTTAATATTTAATGTTATTCTCATGAATTTCTTTGGGCTGATTTGAAGTTTTTTAATTTTTATTTAGGGACCAGTTACCCAAAATTGGATCATATTTAAGAAGGATATTATAAATGTAGAAATTATGATATATCTACTTACTCTTAACTATCAATAAATTATGTCATTTGAGTCTTAAACATAAGGGTTTAGTTTAACTATTGTTTTAGTTTACATATGGTTATCAAACGGGCCACACACTTTTAATTATTATAGTTTTAAGTCTTAAATGTTTTAATAGATAAATATTTAAGAGTGTGTTAATTAAGAATTTAGATCTAGATGCAACTACGAAGCTAAGGTTTTAGCCTAAGCCCTAAGGTTTATTCAATAGTCGTATGATAACAGTATAGTATACTATAATATACTATATAGTATCAATGGATAAATATGAAAGATTTTAAACAAAAATTTATGTATCTTTAATTTTTACTTTAACATTAATTATTAAAAGTAACAACTATTATATTATTTTATAAGTTTATCAGGTATTTTTAATTAATACATATAGGTTTACATTATCAATTATCATATAATATAATAGTTATTTCAAGACTATAGGTGCGCAGCAAGTAGATGTGCCACGAAATTTTTCCGAAAAATAAATTAATGACCAAAAAAAAAAAAGATCTAACAAATTGTGATAATATACAAAAATAATAAATATTACAAAAATATAAAAATAAAAATACATTTTATTTATTTTATTTAGTGTTTTGCTGTAAAAAATCAAATATTAACTAAAATAATACAGAATACTGTGTTTAAAAAAACATTTTAAAACTACTACTAATATATCGTTGCATTTATTGTTTATTTTATTTATTTTCATTTATTATTTGTGCATTCCTAGTATACAAAAATATTATTAACGAGTATGGAATTTAATTTATACTTTACAACGCTCTTTAATGAACATTTTTATAGCTAAAAACATATAAAATCAATATAATATATCTTATATGCTTTAATGATTATTAAACAAAAATTAATTCAAATACAAAACGATTGTTTTAATTTACTAAAAGAATCAAAAATTATATAATAGTGCATTAAGTCAATCTTAGGGTTGGGAAAAATTGAGTTTGAATAAGAAGATAATAATATTAATGTTATATTAATATATATTTTAATCGGTATTATGTAAAAATATCTAGATCTATAATACTCGAGGAAAAAGTATCCCGTTAAAAATATCTGAACAGAAAATAATATCCTTATATTTATCTATTATAGTCATTTTAATAAATTGATAATTCTTAAAACTAAAACTAATTTTTTTTTTTTATAAAACTAAAAATTAAAAATTCTTTACACATTTTTAATTTTCAATAATTTATCAGCGTCTGTTTTATAATTAAGGTTTGTGATATACATTATAATTTAAGACCAATAAAAAGTACAAATTTTACTGTCGTATAAAGTGTGATGACAATATATATTATTTATTATTTTTCAAATAGAAGGATAGAATGATTAGTTTTTGAAATCTCAAAATTATCCATTTGTTTAGTGATTTATAGCAAAATTGAGGTTAAAGTTTTATATTTATGAGTTTAAAGTAGTATAAAGGAAATTGGCCAGTTGCTTAAAAAAAAAAAAATTCATAAATATACAAATTATCTAAAAAATTATGTATTGAATATAATGAGAGCTTATGATATGTTAAAATATGATAAAAGTATATTCTAAAATCAATGGTATTACTTATTTTATTTATAGCTAGAATTTTCAACATATCGCTAATACGATTTAATAAAAAATATGCTAAATAAATAATCAAAATACCCATAATAATTTTTACATATTTACTTAATCTTATATCTATCAAAAGTTTTTTGGTCACATAATAATTACAGAAATAATCCATTATTTTCACTTCTCTTTAAAAAGGCTCCAGTTAAACCATCAGTCCTTTAGTCCACAAGTCTTTCAATCTATTAGTCGGCTAGTCCGTCTCTTTATTTTTTTATATAACGTTTGTCATTCACATTAATAATTGTATATACATTCATAGTTGAATATAAATTATTTATCATAGTTAAAATAAAATAAAATAATATTCATATTTCTTTTTTACATCTGTGATCAAATTTACCAGAAAATATATTTCAACACTAATAAGTATAAAATATATCATTATATTTTAAGAATAACACTATCAAACTTTTCCACATATTATTAGCAATTTATTTTATTTTGTAGTACTAATTACATTTTCTTCATATCTATTTAAAACACGTCTTTTTAATTAACTTATGAAATAAGTTCAATACATTAATATTATATAATGCAAATTCTATTGAAACAATAATATAGATAGAAAAGTAATTTTGTCGTTTACTGAATGTCTTATATTCATTTAAACAAATATGAAACAAGAAATATAAATACAATTAGTATGCACATTTTAGCTCTTTTTTTCATTTAATTTTAAATTATTATTTTTATTTCTTATTCTTATCATAAAGAGAAAAATTGAACACTTATTAAAGGCAATGAGGACAATATTAAGAGATATTTAAAATATTATTATGTATTATTTATAATTTTTATTTTTACAATTTATTAATTATTACATTATTACAAGTAAATAAGAAAATTGTATATATTGATAGTTTTACTTTCGAGTATAATTTTTTTTCAATTGAAATTGATTTAAATATTATATAAAGTAAAATTTAGAATTTTCGATATAGAGAGAACTTAATTTAAAGCGAACTGCCCGTCTGTTAGGTTGCCTATATGATAAAGTGTTGTAGATAATTCTATAATTTTTGTTCTATAAATCATATTATGTTTGTAGAAATAGTATGAAATACGCATATATATGTTATACAAAGTATATTAATATTATCAACATATTTGTTATTTTTTGTTTATTTTAAACTATAATGTATCACATTCATTGATCATAAAACTAACATTGATAAAATATTGAAAATTTGAGATGATTATAATTTATTATCTTATTATATAATAAAAAAAATTAATTTTATCATAATTTAAAATTTTATTGAAATGTTTATTTCTCTAGATAAATGTAACTCATTTTTGTGTTGATTCCCCAAAATAATGTAGAATTATAATAATAATTCAACTTAGTCTTACAATGTATTTATATAATTTAATTAGTTACTTACTTAAAAAAAGTTATATTAAAGTTTATAAATGGTATAAGTTTTAGTTTCATTACAAAAAATACTTTAGTTGATTTAATAAGTAATACAAATTTAACATAAATATTAATATTATATGAATTTTTAATTGAATAATTTTTGTTCAAGTAAGGTATTTTATTGAGTTAGATAAAATAAGGCTACTTACTAAAATTAAAATTTTAAAAACAATGGATAATACTTGTTTTTATTCTAAAGATGATTTATTGTATATGTAGTATATAATATAGTTATAGT